GCCAAAATATTTGTTTGAATCCTTCCGAACATTCATAGGATCATGCAAAGACTTTTTCTATTTTCTTTCCAATTTTCATCGTCCGAATCATAAATCTTTTTATTAGTAAAAGGATCCATTAATATGATGTAATAGAACAATGAACAAAAAAAAAGAACGGATGATGGAGTAAGAAGAAAAAGAAGACCTAGAGACGGCTGATGTAATATAGCAATGAACAAGAAGAAAAAAAGAAGGAAATAAGAACAGATGGTGGAATAAGAAGAAGAAGAAGAACTATAGACGGATGATGGAGTAAGAAGAAGAAGAAGAACCAGAGAACAATGGTACAATTTTCAGAAATTTCAAATTTTTTGAATTTTGAAATTCAAAATTTCATATTAAATGTTGTGAAACGTTTTTAATTAAAATTAATATCTCAAAATTCAAAAAGTGATTCAGAAGATTGAGTGTTTTAGTGGAGAAAAAATAGGCATGATATTGGGGAAGTGTGTGTTATAGGAGAGAGAAGGCTATGTATCTAAACTTCTACTAAAATTTAAAAAAAAAATTATGTAATATTTAAAAAAAAGGGAAAATTAGAGAATGCTAAACCTATAGTTGTGTATTTAAGTTATTTTTTCTTATTATTATTAGTCAATATTACGGCCCATTTAGATAAACTATTTTTTTGGGCCCTTCTTCCATATTCTATAGCAAACCGAAGTTGATTCACAATTCAAAAACCCGATCCCCCAGCCCAACCTTTTTTCTCCTTTACCCAAATAACCATTTTTGTTAGCCCAACATTCCCATTAATTATCCATCAGAGCTGACCCACATCCATTTTTTCTTCCAAAGGAAAACAAAAGCGGTGATAGCGTCAAACGCAGCAGCAGGGTGCGCGTGAACAGAAAGTGCCCCCTTACGGGTTTCTTCACGCGGCGCCAGTAGCGAATCAACCCAGAACTCCAATGCATCACCTTTTTCCCTCTCCGCAATACAAACAGTTCGTCGCCAGCAGAAAGATGCGTCCTTCACAGGCCAGGTGAAGCAATCTCCACGATTGCTCGTCCTTGGCCCAAGATCGAGCGGCTCTCGTTGATGAACCGTTGAGAAATTGTACAGTGTTGTACGAATTCAAGTTGTCTCCATCTTTTCTTTTTCTTTGGAGAGAAATTTCAATTTTTGGGGGATAGAATGTGAATCCCGTCTTTGACCTTTTCTCGCCCATTTCGAAAATCCTAGCTCCCTTCTATATAATATTGCTTTGGTTCTTTGTTGAGGGGATTTTTTTTGGTTTCGAAAATTTTCTTTAGTAAAAAAATTTTGCAGAAAGAAATACAGAGGAAGTTTGATAAAAAAAAAAGAGTTCTTTTTTACAAAAAAGTTCTTTGAGCTGACAAGTTCCTGAACTTTGAAAAAAAAATTAGTTTGGAGATAAATAGCTTGAAAATCGGGAGAAGGCACTAACCGTTAGTTATAAAAATTCCACATAAATACTTAGGCAAAGATAATGGGAGTTCAGTCGTAATTTGGGTCTTTGTTCGTTTTCCTCGTTCATTGAAATTTCTTGGAATCGTCGAAAGTCGTTGCCCCCCTTTGCTCGTGTCGTCCCAAGTTCGCTGCACTGCAAGAGGTAAACGTCCTTCCTTTGTTAGATTCATCTTCGCCCCCCCCCCCCTTCTTCTCTGTGTTATTGTGATCTGTTCTGATGACGTGTGGAAATCGTGTGGGAATCGTTGTTCTGTTGTCTATCCACTGATTATTCGTCGGACTGATGTCATTACATAAGACGTATATTCCATGAGTTAGTCATAGTTTAATATCAAAGCTCTGCTGATTTCTGGTCAGTGTTGTTGCCGTCCGGTCATCGCATTCTTGATACCCTGTTTGTGATTTTTTGGAAGGTTGGTATTCAGTCGCTACATCTTCTTGGTAGTATTGTAACAAAATTTTGTCACCTCCTTTTGCTGTAAATATCATCCATTGTATTAGTCTTTTCTTATGTGTATATTACGATTTAAATTTTAAATTTGTGTTGTTTTCTTTTCCTTAGGCGATCTTGTTGGGCTTCATCTGCATTGTTATTTTTATTTGCAGTATTTTGCTTCAAACAGTTGGTTGGATCGTTATGTTGATCGAGTGCCACAGTCCCTGTTCATGTTGTTGTTGTTGTCTTGAGCTACAAATGTGCATTTACTGTAAATTTTAAAAGATAAAGCTCATATTTTTAATTTGTAGTGTTCGCATCCAAATTATAGTTGTGTTTAATACTCTTTTTCCTACTCCTTCCTTAAACGCTTATGCTCATTATTCATCTCTGCAGGTTGTCACACTTTCCTCTACTTTGTGTATTTGTTTGCATATCTAGAATTCAGGGCTGTGATTTCTTTTATGGTTTACAACTATTCGTCAATCCTTCTTATAATTAGAAGTTCTCCATGTTCAGTCTAAATGAGTATACTTAGTAATACGCAGTTTGCTTGCTATTCGGGAGTCAGACGCCACTTTAAAAAAATGGATTTGACTTTACATCATATACCTTGAATGGGTCGGTGTCATCTCTTTGGGTCGTAACCTACTTAATATGTTGTTATTTAATGGAAAATAAACCTATCTTCCTCTACTGCTTTGTAACTTTTGTGAAATTGTTTTCCTTGATTTCAGTTTTTTTTAAAGAAAAAAGAAAAAAAATAAATAAATAAAAAGTGCAAAATTTTAGATGCAGCGCTATTTGTCTAGTTGTGGCAACTGCTTCCTGGACATATTGCTAATCGTTTAAGTGTAATATACGACTTATTTGCTAGCTTCATTCCCTCACTTTGAATTTATAAAATATGGTCAAAGCTTTAGACTACGCTTTAGTATAGTTTTTTTTTTTACTATCCTTAAGAATGCTAAACCAATATGCATCTTCTTTCATTGTTTAAAGTTCGTTGTCGGTAAGGTTGAAAGGTTTATTTGTGAGTAAAGTATGTGTTTAATCTTGCAAAATATTTGTAGCACTTTTGAAGGAATGCCCTTTTTATATTCTCTTTTCTTATGGTAGCCCCCGTAGCTAACAAATCGATCAGTTTTAGATTGATACTTTAATATCATGTTATGGGTTTGTCATGTCGATTTTTCTAGTCTTAATTGTTATTTTATTCTGACCTTTCGTAAAGGTGTGTCAGTGCATCTATTTGATTGTTTCCTTTCATTATTATTATTATAAGGGGTAATGTACAAGTACCCGCTCAACCTATGCTCGAACACACTTATACTATACTAAGGTCGTATTACCCTCATGAACTTATTTTTTAAATAATTTTCTACCCCTTTTTAGCCTATGTGGCACTATCTTGTGAGCCCAACGCTGGTGTCACGTAGGCTGAAAAGGGGTAGAAAATTACTTATAAAATAAGTTCGGGGGGTAATAGGACCTTAGTATACTATAAGTGTGTCTCTGGTATTTCGGACATAGTTTGAAGGGGTACTTGTGCATTTTCCATTATTATTACTATTATTATTGTCATTATTTTGCTAATGTGTCTTTAATTTGCCTTTTTATGTGCATTTGCCCGAGTTCGTCGAGAACTCCTTCTTCCTGCATTTCGAGAAAGTCGTAAAGACTTAATTTCATCTTTTCGAGTCTCTCCCGAAAACCGATGAACAGGTCTCCAACGTTGGAAAATTGCAAGTAGAAAGTCAAAGAGTGGATGAAGTTTACCAAGAGGCCAAATCTATTTTACTAAATTGTATTTGTCATTTTTGGGCCTAAGCTTTGTTGTATTCCTTTTCTGTATTTTTTTTACGTAATTAGTTTAGGACAGGTAGAAATAGGTCAAAAATCCAAAAGAAGTGGGTCCAAATATCGATCCAGGCGGACAGAATTCGGGTTTGGGCCCAAACTCTCTTTCTCTCTCTCTCTCTCTCTCTCTCTCCCTTATTTTTATTACTTATCTGCTTTTATTTGTCGCTAGTTTAAAGTTAGAAAACTTCAAATTTCCGTAGAACGCCGTAATGTTTTAGCGATTTAAAATTGAATCAAGTTTAAATAATTTTGAAATAATAAATTTTTCAAGTTAGATGTTTCACTTAGATAAAAGCTAAGTATTCATTTCCAAACAACTCTAAATGATTTTTACCCCAAAATAATTCAAGGTAAGTCTTAGCCAAATAAAATTAGTTGTTGGATTAATGCAAGTTAGCAAATATTTTAGGTGTCGTAAAAACCTTCCTAAAGTATAAATAGGAATCCCCGATCCCCTTTAAAAAGTTTTCAATCGATTTTCCTGTTTCAGTCCGTTGAAAACATAATTTTCTTGATTTTTCTTTAAAAAATTAAGTGACGACTCTAAAAAAGTCGAAAAACCTTAAATAAAAAATATTTTTCCTAAAACTTATTAAATAATTGTTTATCCTATTCATCCCATATTAATTGTCACATTTTTCTTTTACAAATTCTGTTAGAAATTATTAACGAGAGGTTTTTTTTCTGAATAATCAATTTTAAGGGCAAAATGAAAAATAAATTAATTTCAAAGATTTTGTTTCCTGAATATTTAATTTTAAGGGCAAAATGAAAAATAAATTAACTTCAATTTAATTTTTCTAATAATAAATGTTTTGGGACTGTAATTTTAAATGTTGATAACTAATAAAAATAGACAGAGTATTTTTCTTCCTTTTATTTTTCTTTCAACATATTTACTCTTTAATAAATTTCTTTAAATTTAGCTTAATTAGAAACACAAAAATTATTACAAATCAAGAAAAAAGAATGGTGTTACTAATTAAGAGTGAATTAACCATTGCAATCATAAATTTTCTATTTATTTTATTTAAATGTTAGAAGTGTTTAAATTCATATTATTTCTATATTTCATGTTCTTAGTGTTTTCAGCAAGTTAATTTAGGTTTCGATAATGTTCCAAAGAACTCAATTAAACATGAATTGTTTATATATTATAAATATTTGTCATTTACTTTTATTTTAGTAGACATGTTCATATTGTTATGTCAATTTAATCCTAAAATTTAATTGTGAATCAAGTATTTTATATTTTAATTTTGTTTGTTCCTCCCATTATGTCACGATCCAAAATGTGTCATGAGTGGCACCCACATTTATCCTCCTATGTGAGCGAACCAACCAATTTAAACCCCAATCATTTACCAATAATAAACAGAAAATAATGCGGAAGACTTAAAAACTCATTAATGAAAATCGGTTAAATAACTTCTAAAAACTCAATACTTATTATTCCCCAAAATCTGGAAGTCATCACTACAAGAACATCTATCCTCAAGATACTAAATCTAAGAATATCTAGGAAGCTAAAAAAATAAACAGCTAGTCCATGCCGGAACTTCAAGGCATCAAGACATGAAGAAGAAGATCCAGTCCAAGCTAGAAGCGTTAGCTCACCCTGAAATCCGGTGTGATGAAGACTGGCTAGAGTTGCGGTTGAGTTGAAGACGACGGTACGTTTGCTGTACTCCACAAATAACAAAGAAAGAAACATACAAGTAGGGGTCAGTACAAACACACGTACTGAGTAGATATCATCGGCCAACTCAAAATAGAAAACAGTATATATCAGATAATATCATAAAATCAACTACAATACTCAACATGCGCCATTTACAATTATCATAACTCTTGGTCACAACACCAAGCACATCAATGAGGACTCACGCCTCCCCATTATACTCATTTGAGAATTAGGTTCATTAAATTGAGTATATTAACATATTTCAAGATTTATTCTCTTTACTAATCATGGTGCCGGAACGTGACACTCCGAT